TTTGCATAGCATTTTCCTTTTGTGTCAAATTGAACAGTGGTATTAAGTGAATGCCCACAAAGCATCTTAAAGGCTAAGGAAGGATTACAGTAAAGGCTAAACTCTGAGACAGGTTTATGTACACTACAGTGCACTTTCCTTGGGCTTAACGTCTTTTAGCCTATCCGTAGAGGATATCAGAGGGCAAAGTTTCTGTCATGAAATAGGAGTAATCAACTTAGTTGAATTTGTATTTAAGACAACATAACCTTAGTTAAAACAGTTTCTGAAATAGTTGTCAGATGTGTTTTTCAACCTGCAGGCAGAGAAGCTCCGGCAATTGAAGGACAGAAAGTCTTTGGATGGTTCTTCCATTGGCAATGTCACATACAAGAAGTCTTCATAGAGGATGTAAGTATACAAATCTATACATTGATTAGTCCAAATTTGAGGCTAGTTACTTTTAGTAAAATGTGCATGTATAAGAAAATGCTTAGGTTTATCCCATAAATTTTATTGGCTCCATTACTAAATATATTAGCTAATAAATTCTTACTTGACTGAAGTTACTAAAGAGTAAAGATGATATACCATGCCTGCCAAATAAATATTGCCTGGCCTTAGTTTTTTGTTGCTGTTGTTGTTGTTGTTTTTAAGGGAAAGTAAAAAGAAGTTTAACATAAAGTCAGTTCAAAGTTGTATATAAATTTATTAAATGTCTTATTATCTTCAACTAGATTAAGTGCCTACCTCTGCATGTGACTGCCATACATTTATTATACATTATTATCTTCCATTAGTGCAGATAACTTCATTTCAAAAACTGTCATGATATATAGACCATAAAATGTCAGAGTAGAAAAATTCAGAAAAAAAGGAGCAATCAATGACAATCATGAAAAAAAATCTATGTTGATATTTCTTAATTCATTCTCTAAACCATCTAACTAAAATACCTAATATTCAGTTCAATCATAAGAGTACTGTGAAGATTTCACTTAAGTCTATGTCCAAGTTTATATATAATGGGCTTTGCTTCACAATCTTTTGAAGAAAGTGGACATAATTTGTACAAACTATAGTAGCACATAAATTATGTTGAATTGACGTAGAAAAGAAATTGCATAATTTCTACTTGCTTAATAATGACAAAAGTATATTCCTTTCCATTACAATATTTGTGAATATGCCTAGAGCTTGACATTTCAGGAAGGCATGAACGGATCTAATGACAGTGAGCTTCCAGAAAAGAAATAAGAGGTAAGGTCAGCTTTGCACTGTTGAAGACCATCTGTCTTCAACAACACTTTCCAGGGTATGTGCTGTGGCGAGACACATTTAGAAAAGTGCTAAAGCATATGCCTTCAGTAAAAGTGAAACATACTTTAGGGCTATTGCCAAGTACTTCAGTATTACCTGTCTTTGTTGCTAGTACTACTTAACACTACAGTGATAACTAATTTTTATATGTATTGTGCTAATATAACAGAGAATATGCTTATTGTTATTTAAAACCAAAATTTAGTCTAGCTGACTTCTAAAGTGGGGTGTTAATGGCATAACTCAAACCAGTAGAAAAAAAATCTCTAAACTTGTCCTCTATCTTTGGCAGAGATGAGGAGGGGAGCAAGATATGGAGAGACCCAGAGAAAAAGGCCCATTTAAGTGGTGCTCAGAGCAGAGTCTGGGAGATGGGCTAGAGAGGCCTCTGCAAAACAAGGTGGGAGGAATTGTTTTGGAGTTGTTGGGGTACCACCTAAGAGAAGGTAAAGGAAAAATAACAAGAAGCCAGAGACTGAATTGTTAAAATTGCCCAACAGAAAATTTTACAATGGAGAAGTCTAACATTCAATTTTAAGTTGTTTTCAACTTTCTCACCCCATCAGCCAAGACCTTAGTAAAGTTGGCTATGCACACATATTGCCTTGTGAGTGGTTTTATGTGCATATGGAGGGAAAGGGACTGAACTATGAATCAGTGTAGAAGCAGAGGGAAGGGAACAGCTATGGGAAGTGAGCCATGGGGTAAATGGGGAGCCCCACAAGAGCAGAAACTCAGAACCACAGTGCCCATGAGGGTGGAACCTCCAGGAATAGGCAGACGTCTTGCAGATGTAGGATGAGGGCGAAGGTGACATCATTCACTCAGATTTTAAGAAGCAATACAATTCATCCTGTTATAAATGACCATAATGCACATTTGGGCTGAAGATATCTTAAATGTAACAATTTTAGCCACTTGAAATAAGTGCTTGGTCTAATTTTAGAATTCTCTTGCAATCTTCTCAGGAAATATGTATATCCACAATTAGAAATAATCAAAAATTTTATGCCAATTTATTCATCTCGTCTTACCTCAAACTTTATTTAAATTAACAAATGTATTTTAAATACCAAGAAAATTATTTTAAATTTATATAATTATTTTTTTAAATGTGTTTGTGATTGGACATAAAAATAGATTTTCACACTTCTAACTACAGCTATAAGAAATTAGAATAATTTCTATTCTCCCAACTGAATTTTTCTGCTAAAAGTTTTTGATAATAAAATGTTTTCAAATAGCTCTGTTGGCCTTCCTCTTTTTAAAAAGATTTCCCACTTATTATTTTTAAAAATTGAAAATATACTTAAGGAAGTATGAATTATGCTTTAACATTAATATGCTTGTCAGAACTCACATTAATACAGGACACCTAGAATATGTAAAGCAACTGAGGATTGTTTTATACCTTCAATAAAAGGCCTTTAAGGACATTTTCTTCTAATTTTAATTTAATTTATATTTTTCTCAATATTATGGAAACATTTAATTCTGCTGATCTACTTTTCAAATATGAAAACTTACCAGATACAGCAATTATTTAAAAAATAATTCATTTTGATGTATATAATCCCAGAGTACATGAATCATGCATGCAATACATATTCTTTATATAATTGCTGAAATCCAGGACTTGCCAAACTCAAATTGCACTGATTTTAACCAATGGTCATAGTATTGCCAATGAGAAAAATATAATCAAATTGGCACCTGGTTACTGTACACTAGGCTAGCATTCAGTAAGTATCTGCTGATTCGGCAAGGGCTTCAGTTCATGAAGTTCATGTCTTACTACTACTGCCCTAATCAGGTGAGACAGAATTAGCACTAGCTAAATCGTCTATGTGCTGCCTGGAGGGGGTTGTTGAGGGTAAGAGTCTGAAGACAGAGATTAGAGAGTCCTCATCCTCCTAATGTGCTGGGCATCCAGGATTAGAGCTCTGGGTCAGAGAAATCCAGGCTGAATGCAGACCTAAGCACCACAGCACTCCCCCACTTCAGGATTACTAGATGCGCTCTACAACTTAAAACTTGTATCCCAGTCTGCACATGTACTCAAGAGCATGTCATCTGCTATAGCAAAGTGACCTTATTTCACAATTTGTCTACATGTGTCCAAAATAGAAGAGGATACCCTGAAAATGTAAAAGTTATTGGTTTTGGAGCAACATAGATTTGGAACTTCAAGTATTTAATTGAGTGATGAAAGGAGAGATCTAGTCAACCACAGAACATTTCCTTGAAAAGGTTCTGAGTATGATTGTTTTCAGATATAATTTGTTTAGGGAAGTGAAACTATTCTGTGTGATACTATAATTGTGGATACATGTCATTATACATTTGTCAAAACCCATGGAATATACACCAAGAGTAAATTCTAACATAAACTATGGACCTTGGGGGATAACAATGTGTCAAGATAGGTTTATCAATTGTAATAAATACACACTTTGGTGCAGGATGTTGATAGTGGGGAGACTGTGCATGTATGTATGGGGCAGCAGTATATGGGAACTCTCTGTACTGTCCATTCAATTTTACTGTGAACCTAAAACTGCTCTAAAAATTAAAAATAAAGGATATATAATTTGGGGCATACAAATTATAACAGGCATAACATGAAATAAGACAATGCTTTTTTCTTTTTTAAGAAAATTCAGGCACCAATAGATATAATAATGATAAGTGTTGTTCACATGTTCAAGAATGAAAAGAAACTAAGGAAACCAAAAGGAGCTCAGAGTCATAACATGGAGGTATTGCGGATGTCAATAACTCATTTTCCTCATGACTTAAGGACATTTCTGTAGAAATTGGGAGTAGTTTTCATTTCAGATCAAGTTTTGATGGATTGATTATAAACCTCCATATCAGAAGTGTAACAAAATTTTATAGATTAGATCCAACACCTCTGGCATTGCAAAAAGAAAGCCAGACCCAAGAACCACGGAATCAAGAACAGATATGGTACCAAGGATGGCTTTAATGGTAAATTAGATGAGACTGGTCTCTAATGCCTCCTTTCCCATTGGCCTGATAGCCTTCAGTTCCCCACTTATTTCACTGAATTTGTGACTAATGGTGAAAAAAATCCTGCTGTGCTGTTACAGACAATGGACTCTGCAATGGACCATGCCTATGCCTGGTCAACCTCATACTTCAGAAGAAAGGCATTTGTGCCGATTATCTAATGGAATGACATTAGAAGGTAACGCCATTGCCCCTATAGCTCTCAACATGGCTGCTGCCTACATTACATCTCCCTGGCCCCCTTCTGAGTTCACCTGCAACTGCAGAGATCATTTGCCCATCTCAAGCACCTGCATTTCTCTGCTTCTCGTCTGAGGTTTTCTTCCCCACCACAGGAGCTTGTTGGGTCTAGCTCAGGCATAACCTACATGTGGTGGACAGTTATGCCCTCAACTGATGGCCAACAGAAATCATTGGGGAAATGGCCAACTCTTTGTCCTTCATTGAGATGATTTGGAGACACATCCCACAAGGTTTTTTAAAGGTCCCCAGCAGGGTAAGTCCCAGTTGCCTGCAGTGGTAACCTGCACTTTAACTCACTCATTGCTTTTCCCCTCCTGGTCTTGCTTCCCTACCCCCTTACGTGGGCTTCCTGGGATCACCTCCCAAATAAACTATCTGCACTTAAGTCCTTGTCTTGGGCCCTGACTTGGGGATCTCATCTGCTTTTGGTGACTAATCTCCAAAGCGTTTCGCAAAAGTGGCATGCAAGAGGAAGAGGGCTGGTCACCCTCTACGCAATTCTTGCTCCTCTCTCTTTCTTCCTTCTTTTTTCTCCTCCTTTCCCTTGATTTGTCTCAAGCATCATGTAGAATGCAAGATGAGCACTATATTTTTAAAATAGCTTTATGGAGGAATAATTAATATAAAAGAACTGGATGTATTTAACATTTATAATTTGATGAGTTTGGTTATATGCAAACCATCACCACAACCAAAGAAGTAGACATATCCTACATCTCCCAAAGTTTCCTTCTATCACTTTGTTTATGTTTGTTTGTTTGTTTTCATGGTAAGAACACTCAACACAAAATCTACCCTCTTAACTAATTTTGAGGTGCATAGTGGATGAACCTAGAGGACATTATGCTGAGTGAAATAAGCCAGTCAAAGCAGGACAAATACTGCATGATTCCACTTCTCTGAGGCATCTAAAATAGTCAAACTCATAGAAGCAGAGAATATAATAGTGGTTGCCAAGGCCTGGGGGTTGGGGAAAATGGAGGTTTGTTCAATGGGTATAAAGTTTCACTTATACTAGATGAATAAGCCTTAGAGAACTGGTATACAACACAGTGCCTATAGCACTACATTTTAACTTCGAAGATTCTATCTGATTCATGGTTGAGTTTAAACTTTTGCTAGAGACTGTCAATTCATGACACAATCCAAGTTCAACAATATTTCAGAATGAAACGCCAAGTTGTGTGCCACTTTGTTCTGTCGTGCAGTGGTCTAGGGGGAAGGAGGTGGTTGTGCCCCGTGTCTCCTATAGAGCACTGGAGAAGTCAGGCTGTGGGCAGTGTCCTTGCCAGAGTCACAAGCCTGCACCTGACCCAGCCTGCATTCTTCCTTGCCATTCTCACCATGGCTTGCAAGCACCCGGCAGATATTTTTATTCTGATCCTGACTGTGCCATGGTCACTAAAATCACTGAGGCCACTATCAGAGAGGAAGTCATACCAACCTCACAGAAAAACCATGAAAATAAATGAACATGAAGAATTTATATATATATATATAAAGATGAATGGCAAAAGCCAATGAGCCAATGTTAGGTGACCCATGGACTTGAATTTCCAATTTGATTGGTAGGGTGAGGTCTGAAAAGAAGCTAAAGAAGTGATTGCTTATTTAAATACCATTATATTTTTAGTTTTTGAACCACATGAATTAACTATTTTTAAAATTCAATCAAATAAACACACAAGAAAGGAAGAAAGAGGGAACGAAAGATCACTACTTTGAAAAGCAGAATATTTCCTTCTCAATTTCCTTTTTCTCGACCGTAGTTGGTATCTCAGACTTTTTAAAGTAACAATTGAGGATGAAGGAGAAGCTAAAATGACCTGTTTGACTAATACTTGATAAATATTTAAGATTTTTCAAAGTATATTAATAATTAACAAGAAAATGTAAGGCAAAATATTTTCCCTTTAACAATAGTCCCTTTTTTGGTCACTGGGTTCTGAAGATAAAGCATATGAATACTTGTGTTTGTATAAGCTTGGATATAATTTGGTCACCTGTTCTAATTAAATACAGTCTCATGCAGTCAGCCCATATCCACTCTAATTAGATATATTTTTAACCATTAAAGAAGATTCTCCCTGCTCATTTTCTGTTTTAATTTTATCAACTAAATTGGAATATTTTTCCAGAGATTGAACATATGGGAGAATTTATGCATTTGTACCTCTGGAAATACAAAAATTAAAATAAGTTGTAAGAAAGGAAGTTGGTAATTCTGGAATCTTACAAAGCTGGTTTAATTTTGTTATTGCTCGTAGTGTGGTATGGTATTGCCTGTGGACTCTACAAGAAATTCCAAAGACACTTTTATAAAACACTGAGTTCCACAGATGTACGTGGGTGCTTACCAGGGAGGGGTTATTGTGCAACTGAAAGCTTGGTGTAGCTAGTCTTGCCAGGTGTTGGGAAAATACAAAGAGTTTTCATTGTGTTCAAGAAGAGATCAAATGGTTTAAAAAAAGCAGAGTTATTCGTTAATGCATCTATCTGGTTCTTTTTAGAACTTCATCAGTAGAGAGAGCTATTGATGTCAAATCCAATGATGGCTGTGAACCCTTTATTGGCAGCATCAGGACAGCAGAGGATCCCACTGGTTCCCTCACCATTTGGACCTCCTACTGTGGACAGGTGTTTCTCTCCAATATATAATAGTCGGGTCAAGGGAGAAGATGGTTAATCCTTAAGTTTTTGGATGCTGTTAATTCCAGTGTTGTTTTACAGTCTAATGTTATTTCACGGACTGTGGTGCAGTCACTCAAGTCAAGACACTCTGCAGGCCCCACCTTCATGACATCTGACATCACGTCCCCTTTGAGGCCTACTTGACCTAACTCCCTCAGCAAATAGCTGACAAACACTTACTACATGACAGGCATGGGGCAGGTGCAGACAGTGGTGGATCAGTCTTCTAGGGCCGCCATAACAAAATACTAAAGACTGGATGGCTTAAATAACAGAAATTTATTTCTCCATGGCCGAGCCCGTGGCGCACTGGGGAGAGTGCGGCGCGGGAGCGCAGCAGCGCTCCCGCCGCGGATTCAGATCCTACATAGGGATGACCGGTGCGCTCACAGCACTCACTGGCTGAGCGTGGTGCGGCCGGTCTCAAAAAGGACAAAAAAAAAAAAGAAAGAAATTTATTTCTCCAGTTCTGAAGGCTAGAAAACCAAGATCAAGGTGCTGCAGAGTTGGTCTCTGGTGAGGCCTCTCTTCCTTGGCTTGCAGACAGACACCTTTCTGCTGTGTCCTCATGTGGCCTTTCCTCTGTGTGCATATGCCTTCTTCCGCTTCTTTAAGTCCCATCAGATTAGGGCCCACCCTTATGATCTCATGTAACCCTAATAACCTCCTTAAAGGCCCTTTCTCTAAATATAGTCACATTGGGTGTTAACACTTTTAAAAATGAATTTTGGGAGGAAACAATTAACTCCATAATATTTGGGTACCCTGGATTTCCTGTGATAGAACAATTCTTTCTTTTCAAAAAAAGTGAAATTACAAGAATTTTGGTTGTACACCCTGGCAGTAACCTATCTTCCTTTCTTTAGAATATTTTGACATTCCAAGGAGAAAGTGAGGCCCATCATTTATTCTTGTTCATGAAATGTGAACAATAAAGTAGGACTTCTAGAGACTACTGAAGTTTGGCAAAATAAATAAATTGTCCACCCAGGTACTCAAACACTGATCCCAGATGGCAAACCCAACCAAAGTATGTCTGTTAAATGAGAAGAGAATTTGTGGTCAGAACAGAGTGTTGACCGTGAAAAATCAGAGAGCAGTACTGATTTGATTAGATCTTTTTTTCCAGACATCTGTAAAACTTTCCTTTCTTGCTTTCTCTTTTTGTTGTCAGCTGGGTCCATCCTTTCTTAGTAGAGTCCTTCCTCTTCATCTTTCTTACCATATTTCTACTTAAATCAATACAGACTGCAGAACTTTTGTACTTCATTTTGGGAAGAAATGATAGAATCCCATATGGCAATTAAAAAAAAAATCTCACTGCCTAAGCACTGGAAATTTTATTCAACTCCATGTTCACTTTACCTATTTTGATCTATTTTCCCCTTAGAGATGTATTGCCTTCTGCTGTAACTCCAACTGACCCAAGGCAGTTTTATGTTCCCTCCCAGTTTGGATCCTCTGTTCTACCAAATGCAAATATGCCGAATACATTGCCCAATCATGTCTACTCAGGTATGAGCAATAGATGTTTGGCTCTTGTCCATGGAGCCACTGTGAACTGAATTGCTGCATTAAGCTTGCATCATTTTACTGCTAAGTTTTAGAGACAGAACTGTGTAGAAGTGATGCTTATAGTTTCTGCACTTGCTACCTAGGTTATAATCATGATGGCACTGCTGTGTAACAAGCATAAAGTCACTTAATTCCTCTAAGCATCAGTTTACTCATGAATAACATGAAGAACTGCAATATTATTATCTGTCTTCTCTTATGTGTAAGAAACCAAAAAGGTTGTGAGGAGATGAGATCTGAGAGTTAATGGGGTTTGGAGAAGTTCATATACGGCCTGATAGAGGTCATAGTGAGAGCTTGGCTTTTATTCTGGGTAAAAGGGGAGGCCTTTGAAGAGTTTGAGCAAAGAAATAACATGTTCTGACTTAAATCTTACCAGGACCATTCTGGCTGCTGCGTTGTGGGAGAACTTGATAGAATCAAAGTTCTGGGGATAAACTGATTGGAGTTAATGGGTTATTGGAATAGTCAAAAGATTATGATTGTCTTGGCCGTGGGTGGTGACAGCAGTAGTAGAAATAGTAAAAAGTGGTTAGATTCTGTAATTATTTGGAAAGTAGAAACAACAGGATTTTCTCACACTTTGAATGTAAAAGGTGAAAGAGAATTATTAAGAACAACATCAGAAATTTTGGTCTGAGTAAAGGGAAAGGTGGAGCTGCTGTTCATTGAGTCGAGGAAGTTTGTGAGGGAAGGAGAGTTCTTGGGGAGAGACATCAGAGGGTCAGCCAGCTCATATTACATTGGAGATGCCTAACAGACACCCAAGCAGAGATGGCAGGAGCAGCTGGAGTTCAGGGAGGACTTCTAGAGACAACCTGGAGATATCAATTTGGAAGTTATCAGCATATATGAGACTAGATGAGATCATCTAAGGGTGAGTGTAAATAGGATATAAGAAGATGATCCCTGGACACACCAATAGTGTACAAAAGATGAGGAGGAAGTCAGGGGAGAAGTAGAAGGAGCAATCTGTGAGGCAGGAAGAAACCCAGGAGAGCATGATGGCCTGCAAGCCAAGGGAAGAAACTGTTTTAAGGAAAGAGTGAGCAACGGTGTCACACATGCCACTCACAGAGCAAGTAAGATATGGACTGAGAGTACAGCATCGGATTGAACGCTATGTGGAGGTCATCGGTGATTTGATAAGAGCAATTTCAGTAGAGTGGTCTTGGTGAAAGCATGATGTGGGGGCTCAGGAGATACTAGGAGGTGAGAATTTCTTCACAACATTGAAGATCAAACTGGTGCATCTTATGTCTCCAAAACTATATTCAAGAGTTTCTGTTTGTCCCTGCTCCCCAATGTCAACAACTCTTAATAAATAAGAATAATGTGAGGGAAAAGCCTGAGACAAAAAGAAACATAAAAAGAAACCCATTATATTTATATTCAGGGCCAGTGAGGAAACCAGCTGGCCTGGAGTTGAGCATGTTGCTTCCCAGGACATGGATCCATTTAACTGCAATGCAAGTGGCATCCAAGCAAGGGCCAGATCTGAAACTAAACCCACCGAATGCAGTGGTCCAAAGACCAGGGGAGACACTCCTGACTGCAGATCCTGGATGGAAGCCCCATCCAGGCAGCAAGAACCCAGTCATCTGTAGCTCATGATTACAGGCAACAGGTCAGTTCCCAGCAAGTCACTCAGAGTCACTCTTAGTGAGGAAGAATCCAGAAATTGCCACTATTTGTATATAGAAGCAGGCAGTTTAACCATCTATCCCAGGGATATAGGTCAGGCTCCCACTTGAAGGCTAAAGTGTACGACAGTAGCAGGGCAAGATAGGGCCTCAGTCCTACAGAAACTGAGCTACTAAGTTAGCAAAATAAAAACTAAGAGAGAGATCTATTTCAAAAATTAGGATGTTAGGCACGGAGTACAGATTAGTACAGCAGAAATAGCATTCAGTTTGATGTCTTCTATTTGGGAAAGAGAAAGAACCTTAGAACAGGTTTGGTGAGTCCAGATTTCAGAGGGTGTTAAAATCCAGGCAATGAGTATTGTACCCTCTAGACTGGACCTCTCACTGGCACTTTCTCTGCATCAGTGGGCAGTATGCCACAGGTTGGTAGCTTCATGTATGCCAGCTGTGTAAAAGAGAATGTCTTGAAGCCTATAAAAACTATAAAAACCCAGAGCTGTAAGGTTAGGATTCCTAGAAGTCAACTCATCTAACTCCCAAATTTTACAAATAACGAAGAACCTTATTTAAAAAAAAAGACACAGAATGATTTATTTCAAGATAGGTTACTACTAGGAGTTGAATGAGCTCTACTGACTAGGTGCAAAGTGAGTATAAGAAACAGCTCTGCCCTCGTGATGCTTATCCTCTTGGGAGAACAGACTTAACATGTAAAACTATCATTGAACAAATCTCTGTATAATAGTTTGATTAGTGCTGGTCTGTGAAGTGTTTGTGCAAATAGGAGAGAATAAGAGCTTAGAAAAGTTTACACCAATTTTACAGGGTAATTTTATGTCTGTTAATGTAATAATTTAAAAATTGTGCTTGTATGTGTCCTTGTTTTCATTTTTCAATTTTCTAGAAATGCATTTTGTTGTGTTTTTTAAAGTATTGGTCTGTAAAGGGTAGGATATGCAAAAAGAAAAAAATTTAAAAACTTGTTCTTCACTATAGAAGGTTTGAAAAGCACCAGGATAGACTCCAAGTGCATTAGGAGTCTAGAGAAAGGGAAAATCAATATAGCACAGTTACCAGACAAGAATAGAGCCTTAAAATCTGGCGATGCTGCTACTTCAAGATATTTTGGAAGGTTGACATGAGCAAAAGGATGCAAATGCTGCCTAACTCCATTGCAATCATTCTGGAAAAAGTATTTTTATCTCAGACATACTGAAAAGTCTACATGGAGAATTTTATATATACATATAGAGCTATATATAATTTGATTTTATCCACTTAAATCCTCATTGCATTCATTTCCTGGGATTTCAGTACATCAAGAAGCACTTTAAAAAAAAAACAAAACTTTTTCCATTTTTAATACAAAAGCAAGAGGTCAATGCAGGGGTAGATAAGGAGATGTTGGCCCAAGGGTATTCAGGAGGGATAAGGTCTGCAGGTCTTTTGTATAGCATGGTGGCTATAGTTAATAACAATGTACCAAATACTTGAAAATTGCAAAGAGAGTATATTTTAAATTTTGTCACCACAAAAAAATTATAAATATGTGAGGCGGCAAACATGGTGTTTAGTTTGATTTAATCATTCTACAATGTATACATATATCAAAACATCACATTGTACCCCATAAGTACATACAATAAAAAGACAATAAAGGCAAGAGATCAAAAGATCCACAGTTCATTTCATCTTTTTTTCCTTTTGAAGTATGGCAGGAAGATGTTACCAATCATGAGACTAACAATTAAATAACTAAAACTTATCTAGTGTTTCATGCTATCATGCTATCACTAAAGTGACTCTAAGATACTGAACAGCAAGGATCTGATACCATTTCCAACATTGTGTTCAACTGGTGGCTTTGGCGGGGGTGGGGGTTGCACATGCTGTTTTAAATCATTATATTTTATTATTTTCAAATACATGTTTTTAATTTGTTTATTGGGTGGGGTGGTGGTTTTCTTTTTCAAGGTTGGGACATTTTACCACCTGAATCCGTAAAGGCAGTGATCAGAAGAAATGAAATGATTCGAAGGCATCATACTGCCAGGTAACTTAACAATGTTGCTTTACAGTATTACAGTACACACACACACACACACACACACACACACACCCTGATTAGTTACAGAAAGTATTTCAGGCAAATTACAAAAAGAAATACGTACAAAATGTATGCAGGTTGGTTAAGGATAAAAGGAAGATTAGAGATCACATAGTGAAGCTAACCGTGGTATTAGTCTACAGATTGTGGTAGTTTGTCAACGTTCCATAATTAAGATGCCTAGCTGTAATTCCTCTGAAATTCATATTAGTGTTTTTGTCTTAAATAACTTCAATTTTGCCTGAAGATAGGAGCCAAGTTTGCCAACCCCATTTCAGACTATGCCATCAGAGCCCAGACAACCACATGTCAGCCCAACAGTGGTCTTCAGCTGTAGCAAGCAGGAGAAAGAACAGCACAGCAATATGACTAGAGTATGCCCCAGAGTGAGAGGCAGAGAGTCCATTTTCTCATCTCTAAACCCTAAAGGGATCCAGGTGGTGATTGATAAGCAAGGAGAAGTAAGCAAAAACGCCAAGTCTTTCCCTTCCCACCTCCCACAGCCACTTTCATTGATTTACAACCATTGAGATTTGCATTTACTGATGCCTTTCTTGAGTCCCACTAAGATTGTGCTGCAGAGTTTACAAACCTCTTTCCAGTACTTTACTTTCTTTGAGGATTAATGTCTGGTGAGAAACTACCCTGTGCTGTATTACCCCCATTCCTGCCAAGTTTGCCCTGATTGTTAGAGACCGTCCTTGGACTCCCACTGTGAGAATCAGACAAACCCTTCACCTTCTGATCTCACTCCAAACTCTCCTTCCCAGTGGTTTTGTGGGGGATTTGTGTTTTCTCTGAACAAACTTCAGATAAACAGTGTGAGGATGCAGTAAAAGCAGATGTGCTATCTTAGGAAAGGCAAGGGGGCATTAAAATTATATTTCCAATGGTTTTCTTCGGTTGTATAAAATATATTGTTTTGCTTTTAGGACAGAAATGGAAATGTATGCTATTTACCAGCAAAGGAGAATGGAAAAAGTTAATCCCAAGGAACTAGCAGGCCTAGGAATCCCATTCCTCTATGGTTCCAGCATCCCAGCTGGCCCAGCTGCCTACCAGGGCAGGAACATGCTCCCTGCCAGTGACCTGCATTTCCACAGAAGCACCCTCAGAAATCTTCAGGGAAACCCCATGCTAGGGGCAACCGGACCACAGTTTACAGAGAGCTGGGGGCAGAAATGTCGTCGACTCAGGAGAGGTACAGGGAATCAGAAAGTTCTGGACAGTGATACTGAGAGTTCCAAAAGTCAAGCAGAAGAAACAATCTCAGGCCAGACTCATGCAATTGCCTATGAAGAGGATGACTACACAAAAGACCCAGAAACTGAAGTGCACAACAATCAGAAGTCAAATGAAACCAATGAAAAGCCAACTGTAGCTTTCGCCAGCACCTCTGGAGAGCTCATGTCCACCCACAGAAAGCCGTGGGCATTTCCCATTGCTGTCCTGGAAGCAAAAGCCTGGGATGAAAGGAAAGAGAGGGCTTCAGAGCAGGTCTTTGCAGCCTGTGGTGAAAAGAATGGGGTTTGCCCTCCAGTTCCTCAACCATCTCTGCCAGGTGGGTGTCCAGGCACTGGTGACAGATCCTCATTAAACAGAGGTTACTACATAGTGAACTGTAACCACCATGCTTTTTTTATCCTTCTTTTTCTTAAGCCCTTTTAGAATTACTTCTTTTTTAAGTCACCTTACTATATCACTTCTAATAGCAACATAGAGAATTTTCAACAAAGGCTGGGAAGGTAAGTATGGGAAGTATGGGGAAACCTACCAGAATTTTTAATCAAAATTTTAATTTAATTTACAGTTAATTTTTTTAACACAAAAAAGAGGGGCTTCTTGCTTAACAGTATAAATTCTATCTCCACTATACCTAAATGTAGAAAAAAATAGGCCATTAAACAGAAGCATTAGCTTTCAGTGTCCATTACTATCATGGTATCTTCCAACCTAAAAGTATTAATGCACTACCCCCGAAAACCACACACTGAATAGTTATTTAGAACTTCCCTCTAAAACACAGGCATTTGGGGAGGAACATAATCTAGCCACCATACCAACTAACTACTTCTGTAAAATGTGTTAATTTGCCTTTTTGATGAGATGTAGATAAATTCTTAACTCACCTGGAGAGCATAGTAATCACATAATGTCATAGAATTTGGCAGCATTAATCTGAAGAATGAAATATACAGGGCATTTCTGATGGAATCTGAAAGAAGCTGGAGCTTCTTTGTTTACTTACAATTGTGCTGTAATTAAGGGTCCTTTCAGAGGAAGAAGAGAAAGGAAACAACTGAGCTTTTAGAAAATGTCTCCCGGTAACTCTTAATATCTTTTGGAGAGTTTACAAATTGATCTGCATGAAGAGACTCTCTGAGGTAATAGAATACGTGAAAATTAACGTAACTATACCTAAATCCGTGTTCTAAACTGCCGGGCTCTTTTACCTGCCGGTAATCCTGCATTGACTGGGCCAATTGTCAGGCTAGGGCTGAGTCTGGTGCTCACAGACCCCTCAAGCCCATTCACAAACTGGGTCACAAACCCTTCACATGCCAGGCTGGGTCACAAACCCTTCACACGCCAGGCTGGGTAACCAGACCCCTTACACACAGGTCTATGAGCTAGGTAGCCAGCAAACAGGTCCTTGGAAGCTATAGGGTGGAAAGCATGGCTGCACATGCAGCGGCCACCCAAGGCAGTAGACTCCAGCCAAGGTGGCGGCACCAATCAGGCACACTAACTTCACCCACACTCACACACACACAATTTGTTTACTGAACCATCCCCAATGGCCCAAGGTGAGAGGGCCTGATTAAATTTTTCTATTTTCCCAACAATCCACCCCTTCAGGGTCTCTCACCTTATAATCTACACATTCAGAATCTTCCACAATGTTCCCTTAGGGAGGATAAATTACCCTTACATTCACACATTACACATTCCATCCCAATCCCAAAAGTCCTTAGCTTGTTGCAGCACCAACTCAAAAGTCCAAAGTCCAAAGTCTCCTCTGAGACCAAAAGCGAAAGTCCTTCTAGCTGTGAACCTGTAAAGAGTCAAAAACAAGTTTATCTACTTCCGAGATACAGTGGGACAGACTCTGGGTACACATCCCCATTCCAGAAGAGAGAAATAGAAAGGAAAAACAGTCCCCAAACAAATCTGAAACCCAAGCAGGGCATACGGTAAGCACACTGGGGCATCTGGGCTCCTCAAGCATTGGGCAACCTCGCTCCTACATCTCCGCCAGGTGCAGCCCATTGGGCTGCCCTGGTGCCTGCAGCTTTTCCAGACTGGTGCTGTACATTGCCAGCAGCCCCACAGTTCTGGGCTCCTAGTGGCAGTCCCATCATCCTGGCTCCCCTAGACATTTCCTCAGTGGGGGTTCTCTGTGGGGTCTCCAACCCCACTTTTCTGCTCCACATTGCTCCATAGATGAACTCTGCAGCGGCTCCACCCCTGCAGCAGGTCTCCACCTGAGTCCCCCAGCTTTTTCATACATTTTCTGAAATCTAGGTGGAGGCTGCTATGCCTCCACTGCTCTCACATTCTGCTGGCCTGCAAACTTAACACAATGTGAATGCCACCAAGGTCTTCAGCTTTTGCACTTTGGAGGTGCTGAGGCAGGATTGCTCCAGCCAGAGCGGCTGTGATGCAGGGAGCAGTTTGCCAAGGGCAATGACACCTCGGGTCAGCCCTCCAGGACATACTCAGTTCTCCTAGGACGGGAGGGGTGCTCTCCCAAGCTTCTCAAATACCCTCAGGGCCTGTGATGGGTGGGGTACCCTTAAAGACTTCTCAAATGCCTTTAGGGCATTTTCCCCATTGTCCTAGTTCTTAGCATCTGACTGCCTCACCATCAAGATAATGTCTTTAGAAAACAGTTTATCAGTTTCACTTGTGTTTTTCTCCTACTCTCAGCTTCTCTACTGCATGGCCAGGCTGCACATTTTCCAAATCTTTATGCTCTGCTGCCCTTTTAAATTCTGGCTTTACATCATGCCTTCAATCAGCTCAGCTTACACCGGCTACTCACTCAGTCTCAGGCAGTTTTGCAGCATTTGCCCACAAACAGCTGCATTTTCCCAGTCCATCAAGGAGTGGCTGCCTTGCCCCGTGCGTATCTGTGGCTCTTTTGTAACTGCTGCCACTGAGACAGGCGCATAGTAGTAGAGACTAACTTTTCCACCTTTTCACCAGGAGATAACATACTTGAAATTCTGCAGGGGCACCTGTCCTTGGGTCCTCTGCCCATCTTCATGGGGCACTCTTTTCTTGGCTTTTACGGCACCTCCCTTAAGACAAACGCAACATGTGTTTACTACATCATCTCTAAAGCACATTACACCATCCACCCCTATGTCCCATAGCCATAGCAGCCAGGGGCTCTCCCTGTTTCTGCTGCTTTACTGTCTCAATTTCTCGTGCACAACATGCTGTAATTGTGCCTGGAGACACATGGTTTTCTCCAACTCACCACTGGGTTGGTCATCTTCCCTGGTGTGAGAGGCAGGAGTGGCCAGTCACTGCAAGTCATCCTCCAGGACATTTATCTATGTTTCCAACAACTCTGCTTTCTGCTGCAAATCTTGATCAGTTTGCAGCATAGTTAACAGTAGCCAGGCTCCAGTCAGCAAATAAGTGACTACTGGGAACCACATGCTCAAGGATAGTCACATTTCCTCCCAATTCCAAGGGGTTTTGCATTGTAGAACCTGGTGTATGCTGCCTTGCAGTACAGTGTGCAGCAACAAGATCCTGGTCAACAGGAAGGTGGCCATAAGGCAGAGCATATTCAAAAGTAGCAACATTTCTTCCTTCTTCCAAGGGCTTTCAGCTCCTGTACCTGCTCAGAATCCTGTTACAGACTACACCAATTGTAAAGCTACACAATCAGGCCAGTTGGGCTCTTTTACCTGCCAGTAATCCTGCACCGACTGGGCCAATTGTTGAGCTAGGGCTGGGTCTGGTACTCACAGACCCCTCAAGCCCATTTGCAGACTGGATCACAAACCCTTCACATGCCAGGCTGGGTCACCAGACCCCTCACATGCCAGGCTGGGTCACCAGACCCCTTACACACAGGTCTATGACCTAGGTTACCAGCAAACAGGTACTTGGAAACCATAGGTTGGAAAGCATGGCCACACATGTAGTGGCCACCCAAGGCAAGTAGACTCCAGCCAAGCTGGCAGCGCCAGGCAGGCACACTAACTCCACCCCCCCACACACACACACAATTTGTTTACTGAACCACCCGCAACCAGCCCAAGGCAAGAGGGCCTGATTAAATTGTCCTATTTTCCCAACATAAGCTTCCCCTTTAACCTGGAGATTTTGTAACGAAATAATTTTCATTCCATATTGAAGGAACATGTGCACTGGTTACAATTGGGGGAAATCTTTCTTTGGATGAAGATATTCAGAAATGGACTGTGGATGACGTGCACAACTTCATTAGTGGCCTTCCAGGTTGTTCAGACTACGCTCAGGTGACTTAATATTTAAGTGTTTTCATAAAAGTAAAACAGTTTGAAATATATTTTCTGTGTAATGAGTTTTGTCAAACTTTTGCACTTTGCCCCCAGAGAGAATTTCTACTCATCTTCCATTTTTAGGTTATTTATTGTCTCCCCTGGGACAGGTGGCTCTGATTGGTGGAGCTTGGGACATATGCCCACACCCAGGGGAAGCTGGGAATGCCAATGTCTGCTCCAGATTCTGTCCCATCAGACTCCTGAGAAGTGGGAATTGTAATTCAAAATTAGAAGGAGGTTCAGAAGCTAAACACCTCCCCCCAAACTAAGAAATATCTGCTACATTCTCACTCATCCATATAACAAACATTTTTGGAGCACATACTTCTGTATCAGAAGTTTTAGGCTACTCATTGTAAATAATGGAAATATATACTTCATTCTAAAAAAGACAAGAAGGCAATAGATCTGAAAATTAGGAAACTAACTCTTTTAAAATTTTATATGTATGGTGGGACACTATATAAAAATGCACACACATATAAAATTCAATCTGGTAGATAAACACTATTTCTTTTAATTGTAATGAACTGTCAGGACAGTTGGAAAGAGAACTAGCCTCACTCATATGGGAAAATTGGTGACAAAAATTGTGGATTGGTGAGTTTTTGAGGTTTATGTCAATGCTACATTTTCATAGATATAGTTTACTTTTTTGAGTGATTTAATAACACAATTTTTTTTTTTTTTTTTTTGTCTTTTGTCTTATTTTTCCGTGTCCGGCAACGGATTGCAACCCTCAGTGTTGCCCCCGTACCGGACCAGGGACCGGCAACGGGATTGCAAACCTCGGTGTTGCTCCCACGCCTCGCTCAGCCAGTGAGCGGGAGCCGGTCTGTATGTGGGATCCGAACCCTCGGGCGGCAGCGCTGCCGCGCCTCCTAAGCGGCGCACTATCCAGTGCGCCACTGGGCCGGCCCCTAATAACACAATTTTAAGCAATAAAGTGCCTACTAAATCTGGTATCGTTATCTTTGGTTTACATGTTAAAGGAAAAGAAAGCAAGAAAAAGACATTATGGTTTAATGTATCATTATTAACTGATGCTAGAGCTAACTTTTTCCAGATCTCAGTCTTGTGAAATGTTTTCCTTCAGTGTAATGCTCTTCATTCCTTTTCTTTTTATTTATTTACTTGGTTCTGTGTATGGGAATTATGGAAAAGCTATATAGAATAGTAACTAAGAGTATGGCTTCTGAAGCCAGAAAGTACAATTCAAACCCTAGCTTTTCCATTTTCTGTATATGTGATCTACTAAAGTTACCTCTTTTCTCTGTGCCTCAGTTTCTTCATCTGTAAAAGGGGAAAACAGTAATAACACTTTTTTAATAATACATTTTAAAAGGATTGTTGTGAGCATTAAAGAGTGTTTGGCACCTTGTAAGTCCTCAATAAATGCTAATTTCATCATTGTATCATTATGTCCTAGAGAGAGCAGGGCCTTATGAGGCAAGCTATAGTCTTCAAGTCACCCATTTTTGTGTTTTCACATAAGCTGACAAAAACTTTTTGTCCTGGGCCTGCCCTATGGCTCACTCGGGAGAGTGTGGCACTGGGAGCACCGAGGCCACGGGTTCGGATCCTATATAGGGATGGCTGGCTGAGCATGGTGCAGACCACACCGTGCTGAGGGTTGCAATCCCTTTACCGGTCAAAAAAAGAAAAATTTTTTGTCCTATTCTCTCCTATTCAATGGATATAACCGTATTATTTTGTTATTAGTCATTAGTCATGAGTAAGCCACTTTTTAAGTGTATCTATATCACTTATCAAGTCCCACAACAACCACTGGTACAATCAAAGTTACTAAATTCTGATAACAGGCAGAAACAAGCAACCCCTTGAGTACTGAGCATGTGATTGCTGACTTCTGGTGGACTGAATTTATTTGAACTCTGATTATTCTTAATCAGTTAATTATACACAGTCATGAAAGTACAGCTATAATAACTGCTCTTGCAATAAATAATGTTACATGCATTTCATACTTTATAATCCTAAATGTTCCCTTGGGGGTACATAGATGTCACATATGCATGAATACCCCAAACTCTGCTGACTCATCATCTCTCACTGACAGGTGCCCCCTTCCCCACCCCAAGAAGTGGTACCAATTATTTCTAGGTGTTTCTCAAATGTATTTAGGATCAAGTCCTGCTTTTGTTTCCTCATTAAAGTCTATTCCCTCCAAGTAACTGGAGGTGACATCAACTGTGAGATACCACTGCTCTGCCACGCATGTCCCCTGCTATGCTCTGAGACATTATTCTATACAAAAATAGGGAGAACCCACCTGGATGCAACTAGGCACAGTCTGGGTACAACAACCCTGAAGCAGCATTGCTTGTTCAACCCTCATGAGGTCCCTTGTCTAAAACGTCCTGTCGGCTTTTACTCACAGTGCCTCTCTTTAAACAGGTCGGACCAAGTCCCTGGAACTAGCCTACTGTCCTTTCCTCTGTCCTCTTCTTCCTCATCTCTGCCTCAGGTGCCTCAGCAACCTCCAACCACCCACTTCCTGTAGGTAGAAAAAGAAAATCAGAAAAAAATAACTGCAGCCAATACCCAAAGCCCCTAAGCAAATGAACTATTTTAAATAGAGGTAGAGAGGGTTGGTGGCACAGCCATTTAGGGACATCCAGGAAACCCTGTAACATGTTCTGTTCGTTCTAAGTAAATGTCTAGATCAAACAACTCAGCAGATAAAATATTCTCTCTAAAAAGAATGACTAAAAATATATGCATATTTATGCTGTACACATGGCCCAAACTGCCATGGTGAGAATAAAGGGGGCACATCTGAGCAATGGGGACAGGTTCTGTGTCCTTGCCTCAGGCCCCAAGTACATCTACTGTGGTTGAGAGTTAGGTCCTCACCTGTTTCAGTCCCTGGCTGCCAACCTACCTCTGTTTGAAAATTCATCCGTGTGCTTTTTCCTTCTTTGGTCCCTTCACTGCTCGCTGGAATCCCTACAAAGGAAAGAAGAGATTTCCACCATAAACATAATTTAGTTTTTCATCAGCGCTCCTTTTTCTGGATGGCAGTGGGATATAGCAGGGACAATCCTGGATCACAATCATGAACTTACATTATTTTACAAGTTGTCTAACTGGCAAGCTGTGTGTCTTGGGCAACTCAACCTTTTCTACATTGGTTCTCTTATTCATAACAACAACAACAACAACAAATAATAATAATAATAATACCTACTGTTTATGGGGCATGGGCTATGTGCCAGGCACTGTGCTAAGCACATCATTTAGATTATCTTTTAGGGCTGGCCCGGTGGCGCACTGGAGAGTGCGCCGCTTGGGAGCGCAGCGGCGCTCCCGCCGAGGGTTCGGATCCCATGTGGAGACCAGTTCCCGCTCACTGGCTGAGCGCGGTGTGGGCGCAACACTGAGGGTTGCGATCCCGTTGCTGGTTCCCGGTAGGGGCGCAACACCGAGGGTTGCGATCCCGTTACTGGTCAGTAAAAAAGACAAAAAGGAAAAAAAAAAAAAAGATTATCTTTTAAATATAATTTACACCATAATTCTTTATTTTTTTATTTTTTTTATTTTTTTGTTTTGTCAATATACAATGTAGTTGATTATTATGTCCCATCACCGAAACCTCCCTC